ATACGTCCGTGAAGTTTCCTGCACTACTGTTTGCAGCCTGTAAACTTTTTCACCAGAAAATTCCTTAGCAACGCTAAAAAATTAATTAGCAACATTGTAGTAGCATTTGGATTAGAAATATATACATAAATAAAATAAATGATTCGTATCGAAAACTGATAGGTAGTCGAAAAATGTGTGATTCTCAAACTTTGAATGATAACCTGACTAAGACGACTACAGTCAAATCTGACATGAGTTGAATACCTAGCTTAAATAGTAAACAAGAGAAAGCAAGGGACTAACTTTTCCCAAATCATACGGCCTGGCAGAGGAAGTCTCCCTGAATGCTGCGATCCTTATTGGTCAGAAGAAACGTTCCCTGCACACACGTGAACACGCAGACCAGCGACAAATCTGCAATCAAAGTATTCAACCGCCTGTAAATAATTCCAAAAAATTTTCAAGTTGAAATGACTGTCTCACCTTCTGGGGACGGTGGGGGAGCATTTTTGAAAGTAGAGAGTTGAATTTTTGAACACAACTATCTGAGGATAACATGCTCCTCTGTTCAAAATTTTGACCCGCTACAACAAACCGTTCTGGGGCTATTCTGGGGTTAAAATTCGTATCCAGCGAAGAGAGTTCCTCATCTGTATATTTAGTCCACCTCTAAAAAAATACATGTGTACGTACGCCATCCTTCTCATCACATATGTTCACCCTTAAAAATCATGTCACCTTTATGAAAGGTAAATGCACTCAGAACTGTAAAGCTACGAGTTAACTTAATACATAAATAAAGAGTAAAGTATATTTTGTTTAGTCCAGTTGATTTAGAATTTTAGGGGGTTTCACTTTTCCAAACAGTAAGAGTAACATTATTTTTAAAAGTGTAGACGAAATCTAATAGCATTGTAATGTTTTAGTTGAAAGAGCACTTTCGCCCAGAGTAGAAAGCTTTGTCACGATTTTTAGATTTAATGGGACGTCGAGCCGTGTGCAAAACTTGACACTCGACCGGTGCAAAGTTGAAACATGAAATGCATATGTGAAATGCGAAGAGTAAGCGAAAGTTGATCTCTATATAATTGGAAGGTGCTCAAATTCACTTGGGCGTCCGTTCATAAATTACATAACGCGGAGTTTATGACCCATTTCCCGTTGATCACGTTATGTATGATGTGACAGGTATTTGTAACATGGGAATTTTCATATGGTAAATATAAGGAAATAATTGTCATTGTAGTATAATTGATTTTTTATTTCTATAATTATCTACATGGGCTATGAGCCTTGTAAGTATTTTCAAGAATAAATTATTGCTATATATTACATGGTAGAGATACTCAGCCTCATCTCCCCTCGCCCCCCTTCTAGCATTACGCACTTTATGAACGTTCCTTTTCGACTAAAAAGGAAAACTGATTTCCAAAAAAGTAACTGGGAGGACAGGAATAACCTTGATTTGTTGTTAATACGGAACTTTCCACTTAGCACTATTAATTGCACGTGGATTTGTTATTCTGGAAAGTTTATACTTGCGTATGTAAATAGCTTTGAACACTAAACTGTTTGAAGGTAAGGTTAGGTTAGAAAATAATGTAAGCTATGCAGTATCAACTTTCACATAATTTAATTAGAGATTTACGTATGCATATTTAATGGAGAATCTAAATAATTTGTAAATTAATTAGGTTTTTTCATATAATTAACAATTTTTAATTTTCCTGGCAATGTAAATAATTCAGCAAAATGTTTTTTTGAAGCGGCAAGATTACGTAAATAAATATACAAAGATAAATTGTATTATTCAATACAAAGCCTGAGAGGCTGCATGAAAGTGAAAGAGACGGAAACAATTCTCCACGAACAAGCACTGTTTATGTATTATACATACTTATGTGCACTATTATGTGCGTTTTGAACAGGGGGGAAAGAGATGGAAACCCAACATCAATGCATAATCAATATGATACTTATGTGCATTTTGAAAAGACGAAGAGAAACACGTCACATGTTAGACTCACTTTTTCGGTGAAGCAATGGACTCTCTCCCTCAACACACAAACTCGTGCACAACATTTACCAGACGCAGCTAGCAGTACGGCATGTATAAATCAACGCCCTCCCAAATCCCCTAAAAATTCGAGGGTTTTGTAAAATAAGTTTACAAAGCACAAAAAATTAAACCCAAAATTGTTCGGTGCAGTAAATCTGTAAGTCTTTTTATTAACCATTTTTAAATCGGTTTTTAAGTACTTTCCCTTTAATTCTCTGACTGCATGGTTTAGTTGGTGTCTCCTCTGAGGAAAAATCTTTTAAAATTCTTATCTATTTTTGAAAATTTAACTCTCATAATTTATTTCTGAAATTACAAATTAAATATAGACAAGTCTATGTAGTTGTGAAAGAATCTGTTAATTAGTGGCAGAGAGAAAGTGTCATCGATTCTTGTAAAGATTCGTGTCAAGCTGTGTGGAAGTCCCACAATTAAAATATTTATTATACCGTAATTTATTTTTCGTATACAATCGGTCTGCATTTCGCACCAGATTTTCACATGAAAGGGTACGTACATAATTTAGAAAAGTTTTACTTTTTTTAAGAATATTTCATAACAAAAAAGACGTCATCAGTTTCCAAAAATTGTGCATTTTTTAATGAACGACTTTATCCACACGCAGGGTGTCCACATTTCGGGGATCGCTTTTCCACTTGATGCATCTTCTCTGCACCGATTGCATCATAATTTATAAAAATGCTTATCTGCACTCTTAGAATTGAGGTTATGATTATAATAAAAAAATAAACGTACCGCAATGGTTATAAATTTGTCATCGAGTGGTTGCAATTGTCACCGACTAATTCTAAAGTTTCACCGACTTGGTATTAATTTGTCACCAGAGCTAATAAATTTAAGACCAGTTGGTGATAAATTCATAACCACGGTGGTATTAACGTATACTTTTTGATTATAATCATAACCCCATTTCTCAGAGTGTGTACAGGTATGAAGTCAACGTTGCTACTTAATTATTTTAAGAAAATTATAAATAAACATCAAATTCTGTATAGAAAAACAAAACTATTTATAACTTCAGAAATTTGTACTTTAGTACCAAAATATCAATCATACTCACGTCAACCTTCGCATATCTTGCATCAGCTTTTCTGGAAAGTTTAAAATTTTTTCTTCAAATTTACCCAGCATATTTTTTGTTATTTTTGTTATTTTAAGTTATTACTAATAACGAATTATGAATTTAATAAAATGTGACTTACACATATTGCCTGGCATGCGACACGAATATGTCGATACTACGGATTACCACTTGCCCGGGTATCACAAGCAAGTATACATACTAGAAAAGCGAGCGTCCTCTGTATTTCTATCCAGAAAATTAGGACCAATACCAACCTCAGAGACACACTGAAGATTGTTAGAATAATTCCATTTTCCGAGATTCCAACGGCACTCCATATATCGGATAAGACAAAGTTGACCACATCCAAGTCTTGAATTAACGCTGACGGTCCTGTAGCGTACAGTGTGACCGTCCAGCCGATAAATACGGTGAGGTATATAATTTCTACAAATACCAGAACTTTTGTATTGGATAAATCTGGAATTGAACTTTTATGTGAAATGTGTCATGTCCAGTGTGTCATGTCCACTCTGCCGGTTTCTGTATACATCCCGGAGATACCGAACATAATACAGAGTTTTTTAAATGACTGACCTGAATGACTTACCTGAGTTATGAAAAATCCAATTGCCTCGAAATTTGATTTTCAAAATTTTTTGTTAGTTTTTAAAATAAAATAAAATTATAAAGTCTTTCAAATTTTTAATTTTTCAAAAAATAATGCATGTGGATTTTTTTAGAAGTCAAGCAAGTCATTCTGAAGAGACATGTTTTCGATTTTTTGGATTCGCGCTAAAATTCGAAAATTTACGGAATTTTTAAAAACCGAGGTTTTGGCAGAAAAATGTTTTAAAATTCGCGCCTTGCGCTCAAATTAGAGCATTATGAAAAATGAAAAAATACGGGTAGGTTTATTTTTTGTGTTGAACAAAATGAAATTGGTCCCGTTAAGATCTGAGTTGTACACGTAAAAGACTTGCATTGTGAGTAGTAAATTTTTATATGCATGTAAGCGGTAATTTCCCTTATTATTACTTACTATGCCGGTTGAGCAATATGTTTATGTAAATCCAGGTTCCAAGAGTCTACTTAGCCAATTTGTAATGACAACAAGTCTTTGTTCCTACCTGACGGCAACCATTTTTCAGCCAATCTCCGCAATTTTGTGATGGCTGAACGCAGTGGCGGCGCAAGTTGAGGGGACACGTGGGAACACTAACATTGTGAGATAGGAGGAGGAGGGGCTTATTAATTTAGGGAAGATAGGATTTTTCTGAATCACTGAGGCAACAAAGTCCCCTTGTCCCCCCACTTCCGCCGCCACTAGCTAAACGTACTTGTGAGGTCCGATTAGGGCATTAAGAACAGATTATATACGTATGTACTAATGATAAGCTATGCACTCATTCCGGGAGTACTGACTGGTAAATGTAGCGATAGTTTAGGGAACATCCATGTATTGTGTTATCATTTTAATGTGTAGGTGGTTCAGGTCTATCTTTGCCATGTTAAAATTCCCTATCTCTTATTGTATACTTTGGGTGGGTAGGTGCAAAAATCGAGAATTCTTGATGACGTAATATATGGATGGCCCCTTAATAGAAGAAATATCGGTGGGCACTCAAATAAGTAACCTTGTATTTTTACCTACATTCCCACGAGCATCCAAGAATATCTAAATAGGCATTCATTACAATTAACGATTTAGAACCTAATTTTTCACTACGCTGGAAATTTACAAGGAGAAATTTTGAAGTATGCAAATCCATCATTTGCATGCACATTTTACATATTTCTTGCAGAGAAGCCAAATTCCTTGCATTCACAAAGACACCTCTCATTGTCATCAATATGCGCATGCATCGCCCTGTGTCCCTCTTGTTACCATGGTTACCAACCTGCTGATCCGTCAGCACCTTCTCCACACGAATGTAAACATTGCAAAATATTGCACATTTAATCATAAATTAGAACAATAAAGCAAACTATACACTTTAATTAAATTTTACTTTTGTACGCCTTTCGTAATTTGAATTAAAGTAATTAATTTCATGAGTTAAATACTTTAGACACTAATGTTTCTACCGTTAATATTTAAAATTAAAATTTCAAATTTCAAATCGTGAATTTAAATTTTAAATTCGAGATGGAAACCACACTTGGAGAGCAGACTATTGACATGAAGCAAGAAAAGGATGAGTGAGTTGTCAAAAAATTTCAAAACTATGAAAAAAATAGAATTAATTTCTGCAATGTTTCCAGGGAGGAGAACAACATAAAAAATTTTCTCGTCGAATTGGACAGATTAAGGGGCTTGCTTGCCGATGTAGAATCCAAACTGGGGTTAATTTCTACCAAATGTGTGAAGTATTTTGATGGTAATTTTTTTGGCGAAATTATATAGCAAATTTGGCAGTGCATTAATGCCTGTGCCGTTTAATTGTAATTTAAGGACAAAGACAAAGGAACACATATGTACACAGTGTACATATTTGCTGGCAAATTTGTAGCAAAATTTTTCATAATTTTAAAACCCTGAAATTAAATAAAGCATTTTTTGCAGATTACGATTTATGCTGCATGCTGAGTAACGGACTAAAATCCATAAATACCGGATTGGACGAGGTCGAGGGGAAATTTCGGGCAAAATATGACCTCCTTCAGTCACGAAAGGATGACGACAATGCTTTATTTCAACTGTTGGTTAGTCATGAAGTTACCATGAAATCAGAGGGGGACGAGGAAACGGGTGACGTTAAAAATGAGGCGTCCGGGTAAGCCACATTTATCCATATTGTCACTGCTTTAGCGCAAAGTGTCTCCCATTTCTCTGATAAGATTGCAATTCTGCAAATGTCAAAGATTTAGATACAATTTGATAATTACGAATTTACATAAATATATCGCACAGATCGACCTTCATCCCGGCGAGGAAACCAGCATCGTCCCTCGACAAGACCTCCGTATCCCGTGATTTTGATTCCGATGATGAAATTCCTAACCCCCACGGTCCTCACTACTATTGCGAGTCCCCCTGTGAAGACGACGATGATAAGGACGACTTCACCCCTGGTAACTACTTAATACTTAAGCGTGACGGAATCGATAACTTCTCGTCAAAGTTGGCAGCACATTTCTAACCCTTGTCCAACAAAGCGACAAAGGTCGGGCAACTATCTATCTACATCGTGGCCATAAAGTTTCTGATGAGGCGAAGCATGGTATCAAACAATTGTTATTTTCACAAGAAACAAATTTTATTAACCAAATCTTTTATAGCATTTTATGCATCAGTATTGTAGGTATCCTCCAGACAAACTTTGTCCTGAAAATTTCTCACATATTTTCCAAAACAATTTTGGAAATTTTTTAAAAAGTGGTTCAAAAAACGTTCGAGTAGGGAGGTTCAATCGCGTGGAACTTGTTATACACACACGTTGCTTTTGAGCTTAGGTCATAAATGCTCTAATCGGTTCAGTTCCGGGCAGTGTCCGAGCCACACCCACTTCCTTAAGATGATAAACGACGGTTACTCGAAAAATCAATTGGTAGCATTTGAATTGCAGGCTGGTGACCCATCCTGTTGAGATGGAATTTCTTTCGAATTTGGAAAAAGTAGATTAGTCCCTACAGTATCGAAGTACACTTGTAAGATTTGGTCACGGTGAAACGGTCCTTCCACATTTTGGCAACCAAAGTGACATCCAGTTCCATCGCGCCTCGAGAGCAGAGCCAAACACAAACCATTAATGGTAGTCATTTTTTTCTAATCTCCGTCTCGTGAACCCCGTTTCTATTCACAATTTGGTATCTCGTATCAGAGGTCGACGCCCACAAATTTTCGCCGGCGGCGGCGCCACTTTTTGGTGATTTTTCGGTGGCGTCGGCGGCGCGGCGCGGCGTCGCAATGTTAAAGGAGTAGGAAATCAGATTTTTCGGCTAATTAAAATGCTATCGGCGTATGGCGGCGCGGCAGCGTGAGATCGGCGGTGTGGACCTCTGCCTCGTATAGTGAGGATCTGCTACCGGATGACCACTCATTTCGGTCGTGTACGTACATAAAATTTCCTGACCTTTTAAACCAGCAGTCAAATTTCATCGAGAAAGGGACCAAAATCCGCTAGACCTTGAATATTTTTGTCCGAAAACGACTTTGCCTTATAATTCTGGAAGCTATGTGACCCCAATCACTTGTTTTAATATGACCCCGAAGAATGGAACGAGAGATTTCTTACCAAAATCGTTAAATCGATTTTTGAGATTTAGGACCCCTGTACACTTTATTGTCGAACTACCAGATTTTCGGCAGATTATTTCTAAACTCGTAATCGTAATAACAACTGAGTGTATGTCGGGTGGTTTGAGATGATTTCCGTACCCGGATGAGCTCTGGTACCTCCACAACTTGAAGGTATTTCAGGGAACCCGAAATTTTAGAGCGATTTGGGATATGCCTTCTCCTTCATCCAATAGTTGGTGGATTTTTATAATTTTTTCCACAAATGAGGATAAATGTCTGGTGGACATTGTCAGAAAAAATTAGTACCAAAAACAAAACAGGAAGAAAGTTTTAGCAACTTTTGTGCGCGGGAATGGGATTTTTCAGGGTCATCAGAAACTTTATGGCCACGATGTATGTTTCCATTTTCCACAGCCGAAAAAGCTAGTCTGTCGTCTATGGGAATTTGTTTCAGAAGTTTTCAGGCCGTTCCCAATAAAAATAGATACTTCAAATTACGAGTTTTTTACGGAGGAGACCTCAAATTTAAAAACCCTTCAGAAATACTTTAACCTTAGCTCGCTCGCCATTAACTCACTGGCCACAAATTTGTAATCCACTTTTTTCAAATAAATTCCACAAACCGAGACATGATTAAAAATGTGTGAATTTTAACAATTTGGTTGCTGACAAGTAAATAGAGTCTTAACCCCATCAACCTTCTTACCGATTTTTTAAATCTAACAGGACCCCACACCCCTCAACTGCGCTCCATCCGAATCCGAAATCTGATCAAAACCCGACGTAGTGTGAACCCCATTCGTAAAACTAATCACTCTTCACCCCAAAAAATACAAATCCCCCGCCACAAAAAGACCTCAAAACCCGCCACCCTCACCGATCAACCTCCCAGTTTAAACTCTCCCACCATACCCCCACCCTTAAAAAAACGCGGTCGCGCACCCACCCTGGACAAGTCCCCCGTTTCGTGCCCCATCTGCCACAAAATCCTGGCCTACAACGGCCTCGCCCTGCACACACAGCGCTGCCACACCGTGCGCTCCATGGACTTCAAGTGCACCCTCTGCCCACGCGAATTCCCGAAAGGTCAGCTCAAGAACCACGCCAAAATCCATTCCGAGTGCAAATCCTTCGTTTGCGAACTTTGCGGATGGTCGTTCCACCTCAATTCAAACTTGCAACAGCACATGCGCAAACATCAGGACGAGCGCCCCTTCAAGTGTACGCAGTGCAAGGACACGTTCAAATTCAGCCAATCGCTGAGCCTCCACGTGCAAGTGCTCCACTCGGAAAAATCGAACCAGTGCACGCTCTGTGGAAAATTGTTTGGCACGTTGACACGCTTGAAGTCGCATGAGCGCTGTGTCCACCAGGAAGTGAGGAGTTACACGTGTCACCTGTGCGGAAAAGCATTTAAGAGAGGAGACCATTTAAAATATCATGTCAAAACGCATGCTAATCCGGCCAGTAAAAATAGAGGGTTGAATAGGCCAAGAGTTTAATTCAAGTGATAGGTGCAACAAAAATTGTAAATTGGACATGTGTGGCATAGTTTTGTTATGAGTTATGATTATTTGGATAGTTTCTATAAGTGGTCGTCCATTAATTATGTAATGCAATACTTGCGTCTTTTTAGACTCCGCTCCATAAATGTTGCTTAACATACGAAACGATTGTAGCCTTAAACCCTCCCGCGGCATATAATTTATGCACGGCCCACTAGCTGGATAGCTACTTTTGTCTAGTTTTTAGTCCGTGTTAAGAAATTTTCATTTATTTAATGCTGGAAGGATGTTACATTCGATTTTTTAAAGTAAAACCGTGGAATAAATGTTAAAAGTCTTGCCTATGTAAATATGAAATTGTGTCTGCGTAAGGAACCTGTTGGACTTTATGAACAGACTCTAAGAAACCCGGTAACTAACAATGCGATGGTGTGAAGTGTAACCCTACGATTGGGTTGAAATTTCGAAATTATCCGGTCCATGCCCATGCAACCAACGTTTCTTCAGGCAGTTTGTGGGATAGTGGGCGATTTTTAAAGGGCGGAGGAAGCAAACTCAACTTCAATTTTATCCCAGTGCTAAAAATTGCTCATTTTTCAACTTTACCCTAAAATATTTTGCCAAATTCTGACTATCCCACAAACTCGTTTTTCATCCTTGTAAAAATTTTTGTTTATACATTGACATCAAGTTTTCCGGACACTTCCGAATTTTGGACAACTTTGGTTTCACTTGGAATTTCCCGCTTCTAGGTCCTGCGTCCCAATGTTGTGGTGCTTATGATTAGCACCTACCTTCATTACACGTATCGTAAAAATTTCTTAGAAAAACATTAACGGGATCAAAAATTATGGCTGACTTTGTATCAAGCGGGGGCAGAAAAATGAAGGTTACCGGATTAAATTTACACCGTTTACTTATGTTTGATGCGGTTTATTTGATATTTTGATATTACTTAGTGGGGGCAGGCTAAGTGTTAATAGAATGAAACGCCATAGCTTCAACAGTTTTTGTGCTACAAGATTCTAGTTAGTCTTATTGGAAAGCCAATTAATTTCTGCGCAGAAAATAATTTTTAGTTTTCGAAATTTCCACCCCCAGCATTAATGCAGTGCTAAAAAAGCCGCCTGCAGTCCTCCTCTGAAGCACGCACTGATTCCTGAACAAAGTGTTCCATCCCGTGGTCAAAAATTTTTTTCAGGCCTCTACACTTCAAAAACATTTTCAAGAAATTTTATCCCCCCACGTTCCCCTCATTTTCTACAAAAAGTAGAGGAATTGCCCCAATTTGCTCCCACCTGCCAAAACCATGACAAAACCTGGATAATGTGACTTTTTGACCTTTTGTCTATATTGGGGGATGTCTCTGACCGATTGTGCGTAGATTAGGTGAATACGTTTGTTAAAAGATTCTTCCGATGCGAAAATATCCTCATCTGTACTGATGTTGAGCAGGATTCTAGTCCGGGCAAAAAGTCCTGTTTTGATGGGAATCGAGCGTGCACGCCCTCCTCCCTACTTCTGCACGGATTCATATGAAATTATCAACTTTGTCCTAGAGATGCGAAATTTGGCATGCACATGCCCCAACATATGCTGCATCATAATACAACATCAATTCCCGTTCCGTTCGCTATAAATTTTTCAGGAAACATCAAAAACCAACTGTCACCCCTATCATTTCTTTTTTTTTGATTTTTCCTGAAAAATTTATAGCGAACGGAACGGGAATTGATGTTGTATTATGATGCAGCATATGTTGGGGCATGTGCATGCCAAATTTCGCATCTCTAGGACAAAGTTGATAATTTCATATGAATCCGTGCAGAAGTAGGGAGGAGGGCGTGCACGCTCGATTCCCATCAAAACAGGACTTTTTGCCCGGACTAGAATCCTGCTCAACATCAGTAAACAGAATCCTCTTCACTTTTTTGCCGCGTACCGCTTGAGGAGAGCCCTTCATTTCTGTAGTAGGGGTTTCTCTATGGGCATGATCAGGAGGTGGCAAGTACAACATTTCAGAGCCTTAAGCCTAAGGTCCAGTTTGAGTACTCATTGGATAATCTGCGTCAACAATGTCGGCTGTGAGGCTATTTCGCGTTGGAATGTCGTGAATTTCTTCGGATTCTATTTTTCAGCCCTTTCACGATGGGGGTGGTCCTTGGAGGCTTTCAAAAAAATTTTCTTCGACTGTTCTTAGTCGACCCGGTCCCCATGAGCGTTTTTATAGTTCCTTGGCTAAATTAAAATGCACGTTCAATTCCTGTCACATTTTCAAAATGCGCCATTTCTCTTTCCATTTTTGTAGTGAAAAATTATTGACACCTTCTTCCATTGAATATTTTCCATGCTAATCTGCTTTTCAAGTGGTCAAAAACTGATAGGTGTTATTTATGTAAAATCGCACGAGCAATCCAATGCACTTATCAGATTTTTATTATCTCCAACGGTTTTAAAGTTTTTAGCTATTAACACTTAGCCTGCCCCCACTAAGTATCTAGTGAACTACATCCAAACAATTCAAAAAGTACATGTTAAAAAATCAACACGAAAAAAAACTCAAACCACACCATGTCAAGTTTATCTCTGACCGACCTATTAATTCCTCATATTTATGTGTTCATTCAATTCTACAAGTTGACAGCCTTCTTGACCTTATGAATTATTAGCTCACCCTGCGTAGCACGAGCACGAGCGCACCCTGTAATATACCTGGCACCTTTGCACCTTGGCTGCAAAATTATAGTAGTTCAACAAAATAGATCAATAATTTTTAAGCAGTTATGCACCAGTGGTGCAGAAAAACGAGGCATAAAATAGATCAATAATTATTATGCAATTATGCATCAATGGTGCAGAAAAACGAGGAAGATGACAAAGTATTTTGCACCACTGTTGGAGATTAACCGTGGTGGGTCAAATAAAATTTCAAAAAATTTGTGTCAAAATTATATAATAAATTCTCCCGGCTATTCTGTACCATTGGTGCTTTTTGCATCAATTAACCCAATTGTTTCGCATCATTTTGTGTTACCGATTGTTAGATACCAACGGTGCTATTAATTTATGAAAAAATGGACCTGATCCATTCTAGTGAGTATCAATTGATGCTCATCTAATTGTTTCGCATCAGTTTGGATAACCAACTGTTCAATACGAACGGTGCTACCTATTCCAAAATTGTAGTCCTTTCTCGATCCAGTTGCACAATTAATTCGCACCATTTGCGCCACGGATTGTTCGATACCAATGGTGCGCCTAATTTATTCCATAATGGTCAAGGGGATTATTAATTAGCATCAATTGATGCAAAAAACTCGTGAACACACAGACAGACGGACGGACGGACAAGAGGAATTCAATAGCTCTCGTGCTACGCAGGGTGAGCTAATAATAAAGTTAAAAATCCCGCTACTGACAAAATGCTCATCAGGAGACATGTCCAGACCTCCAATTCGAAAGGGGATATGAACGTGCTCAGTCCGCTTCCAATAGAGGGAGGATTGGTTACAGCTATGAAATTAATGGGTCGAATGTCAAGTTGATAAAGTGTGTATTCTTGGTAATAATCAAACTGGTATTCATCAATTAGGGCATAGCCAAAGCTATTGAAGTCAATTAACGTCATGTCGGATTCACGTCCTTCATTGGTCAACAAGGTCAATTTGAGTCGAGTTGAGTTTGAGTCAGTGATTTTTCTTATTGAGTTGAGTTGAGTTAACCCTCAACTCAACTCATTGGGAGTCCTACTCCAAAGTATACCGCGATTTATTATCGGCACACCATATCAATCTATATAAAAAACATTCGAATACTACGTAGTCGAATGGCTGGTCTCGATTGTGCATCTAGGTACTAATTTAATTGCACTACGGTAATTTTTTTATGTGACAACACCAAAATTCGCTATAAAGCGGACGCAAAGACATGCTAAAAGTTTAGCCCATGAGCTGTTCTTTGCTTATTATTTGAATTATCTCGTTTAATGGTCTTGTGTATGTAGTAACTTTTAAATCGTTCATGTGAGGTACACAAACATGGAAAGTTATTAACTTCGAGTTAATAAATCGGGATGGCGGCGAATCCTTAAGTTCAGAATTTTATTACCAAAATATGCAAATAATTTAGAATACCAACGTACTTAATGTGTCTATCATCCAACAGACACTTGTTACTCAGACATGCATGTTCTAAGAACCAATAAATTTCTTCCAGGGGGGTGGATGAGGGTGGGGGTGGGGGTGGATGAGGGTGGGGGTGGATGAGGGTGGGGGTGGGGGTGGATTTGATGGGGGTGGGGGTGGTTTTATAAATGCCGAATAAATGTAAGTTTAAAGAGAATAAAATAGGATCGGCTACTGTTTTTGTGGAGAATTTTTTCTTGGACAATGCTTTCCAATCAGAATATCGATGACAAATTCCAATTGATTCTCGGCGTTAGCATCATTAGAAAATGTTAAACCTTTGGCTACCAGGAAGTCAATTACATACAGACATTTTAGTCATTGGAAAGTGGAAGGAAGAATAATGCAGATATTGATTTCCCCCAGACTATCGGAGAAGCGTGCTCCCTATTTGGTTCTATAAGAAATGTATTAAAATCCGCTGCATGTTATTGGAGCAGCCATTTGCTTGCTTGGCGTCACGAAACACATTTATAGGAGTAACCCGTTCTATATATTCTACTTTATTTAGGTTTAAAATTTAAATTTCAATACACTTATGAAGATCAAAAGGATTTGTGTTGCATATTGTTGCCAGGCAACACTTGGGCAAACAAGGGCTTGGCTTCCAAGAGGTTTAAATATCTATTCTCAATTCGTATTTGCAGCAACAATCTCAACCTTTTACCAGGGGAAGTACAGCTATTATTTAGTAATTTTACTATTTATTTTTGACAAGAATCCACTATTATCGCACTTATTATTTCTCTCCCCAATCAGGATGGAAACAATGAGACAAATAATATTAACGCACATCGCACTATCTGGATTGGTCGTTCCTCCATCACATTGTCTTTGGAACGTGCCCAATATCTTTCTTAATTGTCACATAATATTTTTAACTAACCTGTTTAATGCCTCCTCGGTAGATATATATCGGAATATACCATAATTCCATGAATTAATCCGTTCAAATCCTTACTCGCCAATTGTCCATAATTCACTTTATGCGGACGAATCAAACATGATGCTTCATGGCAAGGACAGATCAAAACTTGGACCACATTCTGCCTCCAGGCTAACACCCGTGATATTTCTTAATATTAACACTATAGAAAAACTAAGCAATTTAGAAATTTCCTACACTTTTGAGGACATGCTAATTATTACCACGTCTGATTTAAATCCTTCCTA